CTTTCACTTCAGGAAATGTTATGAGAAATTAGAATTAGAATCTTTGTTTGCATCAAAATTCAAGCACTGAACGCATTGGTTTTTAAAAAGGTGTAGAACAAGAGCGGCGCACGATGTGAATACCTTGAATTATGCATTTACCTCTTTGTTAAAATAGCAAATGTATAATTTAAGCAAAATAAATACATTTTTAAGTAACAGATCTAACAATTTTCTCCATATTATTTTTAATATTCAATATTTCAAATAATTCCTCTAAACTTTTTAATAAATCCTCGTATTTCAACGTATTTATTTAAAACGAACATGGCTGCAGCTTTTTCTCTGTGTAGTCAATGCAATTTCACAAAGAGAAAATACATCTCTCTCACTCTTTATTACCAGTACTCCACAAGGGAATCTATATAACTCCAAATGTTATAAAAGTCCGTTATTAATACTCTTGAACTAAGGGAAATAGAAATAACTTACAGAGCATCTTCAAAACAATGCACGCCATATCTTTAACTAAAGAGCTTATGCCCAACCACTCCATATATTAAAGAGCATTAACGGTAAGGCACACTCACCAAACAGAGGGACTCTATAAAAGGGAGCCCCCAAATGAAGAGACTAATGATTAGTGACTAATCACAAAGAGAAGCACAGCAAAGGCAATTTGTTGTATTGCACTACTCCAGGTTCCGTTAGTGGTTTTGTTTTGCCCAAAACAACAAAAAGAAAAACAACATAAAAAAGATATCAACAACAACGGCAGCTCAACTAAATAAAGGAAGAAATCAGAAACTACTTTTGAAAACGTTTTATTTCTTTTCGTTTCGTTTTGTCTTGTCGGCCCCCCTAGAGTCGTTAGCCCAAAGGGAAAACTCAGTGTTGGTACTTTGTTAAAGAAGCAGAAATATAAAAAAGGAGAAAAGAAAAATGAAAGAAAAACTAATCTTTGAGCCCGGCAACACAGAAATGTGAATAACCTTTTTGCCGAGAAAGAAAGATGACTGCTGGTGGTATCCCCACAACAACAACATCGGCGATGATGACGACTGTGATGATGACGATGACACCAAAAGACAAAACAACAACAGCAACAAGAAAGATTGGAAAAAGGAACCGCGTTTAAATGCAAAAGGCATGACAGACAAGTAGACAGAATGACAGACAGACAGTTGTGTGGCACACAAATGTCGTATTTATGCGAAATTTGACACACATACATATTTGTGGGAGCAAAACAACGGGGATGCAAAAACATATGCAAAGGAACCATCTTTTAATATACCACATTTTAAGGGACATTAAGGTGGGTAGAAAAAAATGACCAAAAATACCCCAAAAGGCAGAGAAACAATGTTTGTTGATGGGATATTTTTTATTTTATTTTTTTAACAAATTAAAGAAAAACCTTAAAACAACATTTTTAGACTGAAACAAAAATCCCCAAAAAATTGATAAAAAAAGACCCAAAAGTGGGGATGAGCAAATAAGACAATTTGAAAGCCATGATTAGAAACTGGCCAGGAAAATCAAAGACAAAATTAAAAAAATGTGGTTTTAAACTAGTTTAGGGGTTAAAAGGCAATCCCTAAAAATTGGCCGAAAATGCCCAAAAGTGGAGAAGTGCGATTTTGACAATTTAAATAATTACAATCATAAATTTGACCTTCAGAAACGCCATATAAATCATTGATAACTGATTTCTAATCTTTGTCGACAATTCCGAGATTTTTGTTCCAAATACCCAAAAAGTGGGGAAGTTTAATTTTCGAGTTTTTTTTAACTATTAAACTATTTTTCTGAGAATAATTATTTTATGTTAACAATAGCAAACAAACATGTTACCATGAGCAAACAAATTCCCAAATTTTTAGTAAAAATACCCAAAACTGGGGATTTGTAAATTTAGACAACTTTAAAGTTATAATTATAGATTTGGCCACCAGAATGAAAGGAAACAGTGAATAAACGAAGCTTAAAAATATTTTGGGGGTTAAACAAAATTTCCCCAAAAATTTGGTCGAAAATGGCTAAAAGTGGGAAAGAGCAATTTTGACAATTTAAATAATTACCATTACAAATTGGTCTTCAGAAACCCAATATGAATTATTAAAAACTCGTTCTTAGTTTTTTCGACAATTTTGAGTGTTTTGTTTAAAATCCCCAAAAAGTAAGGAAGATTAACTTTCGAGTTTTTTTTTTTTTAACTTTAAAATTATTTTTCTGAGTAATGCAAATGAAAATTACTATAAAATGTTATCATAGCGGATTGATCTAAAAATTCACAAAATTTTTGGTACAAATACCCAAAAGTGGGGATGTGTACATTTGAAGCTAAAAATATAAATTTGGTCACAAAAATGAAAAGGATGACAAGAGAAGGAAATGTAAAACCTTTTTGGGGTTTAAACAAAAATTCTCCAAAAATTTGCTTGAAAATACCCAAAAGTGGGGAAGTGGAATTTTGACAAATTGAAAATAACAGTCATAAATTTGACCTTCATAACCATAATAAGAATAAAGAGTAAGTGATTTTTATGCGTTAATCACTATTTCCCAGGTTATTGTTTAAAATACCCAAAAGTGGGGAATTTTAATTTTCCAATTTTTTAACTATTAAATTGTTTTTCTGAGTAATGCACATTAAAATTACTATAAAATATTATCAATAGCGGATTGATCTAAAAATTCCCAAAAATTTTGGTAAAAATGCCCAAAAATGGGGATGTGTAAATTTGAAGCTAAAAATATAAATTTGGTCACGAAAATGAAAAGAATGACAAGAGAAGGAAATGTAAAACCTTTTTGGGGTTTAAACAAAAATTCTCCAAAAATTTGCTTGAAAATACCCAAAAGTGGGTAAGAGGAATTTTGACAAATTAAAAATAACAGTCATAAATTTGACCTTCAAAACTATAATAGGAATATTGATCAAGTAATTTTAATGCTTTAATCATTATTTCTCAACTTTTTGTTAAAAATATCCAAAAAATGGGGAAGTTTAATTTTTGAGTTTTTTAAATATTAAATTATTTTTTGGAGCCATGCTCAATAAAATAACTATAAAATAAGTTATCAATTACACATTGAACGAAAAATTCCCAAATTTTGGTAAAAATGCCCAAAAGTGGGGATTTGTAAATTTGGCCGATTTGAAGCTATAAATAAAATTTGCTCATGAAAATGAATAGAAAAATAATGGAAAGAAGCTCAATCATTTTTTGAAGATCCAATTAATAATCCCCAACAAAATACCCAAAAGTGGGGAAGTGAAATTTGACGAATTGAAAACATTGTAGAACCTCTTAATTTGAATTGAAAATCATAATGAATATTTTTATTTGATAAAAATCCACTTTCCCCAAAATCGAGCTAAAATTCGGGAAAAGTGAATATTGAATTTTTAAAAAATCCCAAAAAAAATTTCAAGTTTTTTTTTTTGTCAAGAAATTAGGTTAAAATGCCTCAAAAATAATTTACAGGATAAAAAAACGATTTTTCCCGCTTTTAAACCAAAATCCCCAAAATCCCATGAATTTTTCAATAATCCCCAATCAATTTTTCTAGATCTTTTCTTCAAGAAATTAGGTTCAAATGCCTCAAAAATAATTTCCAAGATAAAAAAACTAATTTTCCCGCTTTTAAACCAAAATCCCATGAATTTTTCAAAAATTTCCAAAATCCCATGAATTTTTCAAAAATCCCCAATCAATTTTTCTAAATCTTTTCTTCAAGAAATTAGGTTCAAATGGCTCAAAAATAATTTCCAGGGTAAAAAAAAAATAAATTTTCTCGCTTTTAAACCAAAATCCCCAAAATCCCATGAATTTTTCAAAAATCCCCAAACAATTTTTCTAGATCTTTTCTTCGAGAAATTAGGTTCAAATGTCTCAAAACATATGATTACTAAATGAAAAGAAATTTTCCGGAGTAAAAATGAAATTTTTCAAAATTTAAACTAAAATCCCAGAAAAATGGGGAAGTGGGAAGAAATGCCAAAATACTTTAAATTCATTGAAATTTCACAAAAAAATACTTATCAATTTTTCTAGATCTTTTCTTCAAGAAACTTGGTTCAAATGGCGCAAAAATAAATTCCAGAATAAAAAAAAAATCCCGCTTTTAAACCAAAATCCCCAAAATCCCATGAATTTTTCAAAAATCCCCAATTAATTTTTCAAGATCTTTTTTTCAAGAAATTAGGTTCAAATGGCGCAAAAATAAATTCCAGAATAAAAAAAAAAACAATTTTCCCGCTTTTAAACCAAAATCCCTAAAATCCCATGAATTTTACAAAAATCCCCAATCAACTTTTCTAGATATTTTCTGCAAGAGATTAGGTTCAAATCGCGCAGAATAATTTCCGGAATAAAAAAACGAATTTTCCCGCTTTTAAACCAAAATCCCCAAAATTCCATGAATTTTTCAAAAATCCCCAATCAATTTTTCTAGATCTTTTCTTCAAGAAATTAGGTTCAAATGCCTCCAAAATAATTTCCAGGATAAAAATACTAATTTTCCCGCTTTTAAACCAAAATCCCCAAAATCCCATGAATTATTCAAAAAATCCCCAATTAAATTTTCTAGATCTTTTCTTTAAGAAATTAGGTTCAAATGCCTTAAAACATATGATTACTAAATGAAAAGCAATTTTCTGGAGTAATAATGGAATTTTTAAAAATTTAAACTAAAATCTCAAGAAAAGTGGGGAAGTGGGAAAGAAATGCCAAATTACTTTAAATTCATTGAAATTTCACAAAAAATATTTGTATTTAATAAAAATGTCATTTTCACAAAAAAAAAAAATAATAATAATAATAATAATAAAAATAATAAAAAAAAAAATAAAAACAATTAAAAAAAATAATTCTCAAAAAGTGGGGAACTCTTATATCGTAGGATTTAAAAAAAAAATGTCGGTATCTGCTGGGAGTTTTTTTAATCCACATAAAGGATAATTATTTTCAATTTAAATTTTTGAAATATTATTCAAAATTTTTTACACTCACTTTATAAGCTCCTTCTGCTGTTTTATTGTTCCTCCAATAAACGTTGCAGCTTCATGAAGTTTTATTTAAATTAATTTTTTTCTATTAAAAATCAATAGCTATTTTTTTGGTCACTTGAGATCGTTAATCATTTAAATATGAATTTTTAAATTTTCCGTTAAATTATTTTTCTTTGTTTTTTTGTTTTAGTTTTTCCTATCGCGTCGAAGTCAAATAGTAGCGGCCAGCTGAGTTACTGTACTCCAACAGCAGGCGGCCCTGATTTGCTGTCTCGGTGGGTAGAGATTTGGCAATTTTTTTCGTTCGTTGTATGTTTTGACAATTTAAAGCCGTGTTTTTTTGTTTTTGCTTTCTTTTCGTTTTCTTTTTATCTTTCACTTCGAAGAAAAAAAAAACTTCTCTTTTGAGGGAAATTTTGTGTATTGTTTTGGCCAGACGGAAAAAAGGAGCACAATGTTTGTTTTGTTTTTTTTTTTTATTTCTTCTTTTTTTTTTCAAATATGTTTTGAATTTTGTTTTTCCAGCTATTCTTTCTAACCGAGATTTTTATAGAAACGTACCGTTCCGTTCCAGAGCGTTGTACAAACTATTTGCCGGCGCACAATCGCCAGAAATAAGTAAAATTTTCTTCGCCCCGAAGAGAAGTTTACAGTTCATTACAGTCGTGCTGAGTGTATCACAGAGTGAGTGTGAGAGTGTGTATGTGTGTTTGGGTTTCTATTGTGTGTATGTATAGTTTATTCCAGAATAATATCCCTCCATGCACCAAACAACATCCAGTCATCCAGCCAACCAGCCATGCATGCATTCATCCAACCATCAACCATCTATCCAATCATCCACACTCCAACGGAGATACAGAGGCATACATACATACATATGTTTGTTTGTGTGTGTGCATGGGTGAGTCGTGATGTTGTTTGGACATGGCAGAGCTCACGCAAAACTCTCGCACACATAGTTAAGTCATAAGGCAATGCATTCGGCTGAATGCATGTTTTCATTGCTACCATGAATTAGTTACGAGGGGGGATTAGAAAATTGGGTCAGTTTATCAAAAACAAAAAAAAAAAAAAAACAGCTTACAGACAATTATTTGGCTATTAGAACTGCATGAGGGATAGGTACTTTTCGATTTTGGAACTTATAAAAAAGGACAAGAAAGGGGGTGTCGATTTGACAATGGTATTCCTAGGAGAAGGCACACGGGTCTTCCAGGAGAAGATCAACTAGTTTTCTCGGAGACGGTTGAGGATGCAAATCGACATCAAGCCGAAGGTCTTCCTTAACCATTAAATATTTCAGAGACCCCCTGTAGAGAGAACAGTTTTTAGAGGTTTTTTATACAATGAAAATCCGTACAAATTCTTTTCTGAGAAGAACAAAAGGAACTCTTCTCTATCAGATAGTTTGTGGAAGATGTACATAGTCATTTAGTGGGTTTCCCATTTCTGGAGGACCACCGGTGGATCTTCTCTCTCTAAAAGACCTCTGACAGTCCTTAAAAAAACTTGAAACGTTTCCTTTTTATATGGGTTTTTTATTTATAACAGATTCTCATTCACTCAAAGTTATTCAATTTAAAGAAGAGGTTTTCTATTTCTGGAGGACCTCTGGTGGATCTTCTCTCCCTAACATACCTCTAAGGGTCTTAAAAACTTGAACGGTTCCCTGCATCTAGAAGGCTTCTGGGGGTCCTATATGTGTAGATGTGTTCGGGAGGTCTTCAGATTTTCATTTCCTCAAAATTCTCACATCTAAGGAAGGCCTCTGGAAGACTTTTTACAAGATCTGTACAGAATAATTGATCCATAGATGATTTCCTAAAGAATATTCTATATGTAGAAAATCTCTAGAGGACATTCTACCTATAATAAATTTGTAAAGAGGATTTTGTTAAAAGGTTCCTGGGGGCTGTCCGGGTTTCCAGAGGACCCTTCGAAGGGCTTAATTTTAAGACATTTTTAAACAATTTTCTTGACAAGCTCATATTTTATGCGTTGGAGCCCCATGATATATTTGCAAAAGACATTTGTGTTCACGTTGTTTCTCTGAGAGGTCTTCTGCCTATGGAAGACCTCTGGAAGTTCTACTTTCTACAGGGTGCGATGAAAAAACTGCAACTAATTTCAGACAGTTGTCATTTCTAAGCCGATCGTCCGACAGCTGTTAAAATTATTCCAGTGACAGCTCATTTTATTGTTTACAAGCGTACAGAGAACATTTTGGTGAGAATTTTCCAGAAAAAAAGTTATCCATGATGGAATTCATTTTCATTCATTTCTTTATATTTGGCTGGAAAACAACAAGTGGCTATCGTTAGAGAACTCCAGCATTTAAATGTGAATAAATCTTTTGTGTCTCCTGCCAACGCTTGTTACCGTGATATTGGTAGCGGGTAGCGTAGCCCGACGTCAAGGAAATGGACGGAAGAAAACAGCAACATCAGCAGAAATGGTTCGACAAGTTAAGAAGCGACTTGATTCAGACCCGCGTCGCAGTGGCCGAAAAATGGCTCGTGAGCCGAACATATGGCAATATTTCATTTGGGATATATTGAAAAATGAGCTCGGGGTAAAGCCATTGAAAATGCAAGAACTTAAACCGCGAAAATATACTCAAAAGAGCTAAAGAGTTGCTTCGCTTCGCCGAAATTGGTGAACTGCCGAATTTGGCTTTCTCCGATGAGAAAACATTCGTTGTCCAGCACTTTGTAAACAAAGAAAATGATCGTGTTTACTTGCCAAAGAGGTCAGCTGAAATTGTGCACCTTCGGTTGGCCACCAGAACTCAAGCGCCGGCCATGGTGATGTGATGGTGTGGGCCGCCATAACAGCCGATGGTCTCCACTCGTAATAATCGACGGTGGCATCAGAAAAAATGCCGAATATTATCGCGAAAATATTCTGGAGGGTGTATTAAAGCCTTGAGCACGCAAACATTTTGGTCGCAGACCTTGGACATTCCAACAGGACTCAGCACCATCGCACTCATCACGCGCCACCCAAGAATGTTTACAAAATGAGGTTCCTCGCTTCATTTCCAGCGCACAATGACCACCAAAATCTCCGGATATCAATCCGTTGGACTGTTGTGTCTGGAGTATTTCGGAAAGCAAGGTTGGCACTAAAAACTAGCAAAGTGTCGATCACCTCAAGCAAGCACTTGGCCGGGAATGGGCCAAAATACCGCAGAGCCACATTCGGGCAGCATGTGACGTTGTGTGTTTCATTGGCCGTTTGAAGGCCATAATTCGTGCCAAAGGTGACCAATTCGAACAAATCTAAGCTTATTCTAAAATTTGATGCTTTTTCTGAATTTTTTTGCATTCATTCAATAAAATTTAAAAAAATGTAAAAATTGCAATTATTTCATCTCACCCTGTACACCAGTTAAGCGTTCCTGTGACAGCTAATTTTCCGTCTGAGGCAACGTAGGGTGATTTTATAGGTGGAGAGAGATTTTCGTGTCCAGGTTCTCTATAAAGATACCTAGCCCCATTGTCTCCCCTAACTTTCATATGGCATACTCGCTAGATGAGAAATAGTTCCCTCTATTGAATCTCCTGTATAACTATTTGATGGTATGATGTGCGACTTTTATTGGTCCACACTTACATTTCTTCCAGCCTCAAGGCTGCGATGACTGCCCAATACCTAATCTATATTTCTATTTGATGGATATAAATAATATACAGGCCCAGGTCTTCATATAGCCCCCATATAATAGTACCTCCCCATATTCGGTATTATTATGATTTTAGCGACATTATTTACCAGATCTTCTTAATGGGTACTACAGCCTATGACAGAAAATTGTCTATGTAGGTCTTCGTATAGCCCCTAAATATCGGTATCTTCTTATATTCGGCATTTTGATGATTTTAGTTACATTTTCTCCGGAATTGTTTTAAACTTCGTGTTTGCATTTCGATACGGATGTTACAGCCTGCGACATAAAATTGCCTATGCGAGTCAACGTCTTCGTATGGACCCCAATATAACGGTAACTGCCTGTATTTGGTTGGTTTTAAAATTTTACCAGATTTTTTTATTTGCTTATTCTTTTTTTTTTTGAAAATTTCCAAATTCCTTCCAAGGGTATCCAAAGTTCGGCCCGAATGAAATTATTGATTTTTAACGTATTTTTTTTTTCTAAAAAGGACTGCATATTGTGGGAAAATATCTTAAGAATCATACACCGATAGAAAATCTATAGAAGGCCTTCGTGTACTCGGGACTCACGGGAGAACTGCTATTTACAAACGATTTTCTAGATCTCGTTTATATAGATAAAATACTTTTTGTCGGCTGGAAACTTTCAAGAGGGCTTAAACGGAAAAATATTCTCCCGAGGAGAAGCAGGAATCCCCAGGAAGTCTTCTTTAGACAGATTCTTTTCAAACCGTTGGTCCTTTGGATCCTCATGAGAATCTTTGGATCTTCAAAAGGATTTTTATAAGTAAACGATTTTCTATATGCCTCCTTAAGGTATAAAATATTCTAGAGGAAAGCTATCAACAGAATTTCTGAGTGGATGGTCACAAGAAAACTTTCTGATGCAGAAGGCCTTTTTTAAGTATTCTGGAGATATTTTTTAGTTGGACAAGAAATTTATGAAAGGCGGAACCGAGAGACCGTGTTTAGGTTTTCCACAGACTCAAGTTCTAGAATTCGTCTTTTTGCAGAGGACCTTCTGGATGATTATCATAAACTGTATAAACTCTAGAGGTACAGGTACAAATATACAAATATAAGACTAACAGGTACAAATATAAGACTTTTTGGACGACTTTTAAAAACTTTTAATCTACACAGGGTCTTTCAAAGTAAACCTGCCTACATAGGGAAACATTTTAAAGAGTTTTTTTTATAGATAGAATATTTTCCTGAAGTTTTATATCGCCTGAGAATCTTTTGAAGGTCCACCATGGGTCAAATAATATGTAAACGTATTCTCCATGAGGGAGGGGAGTTTCTCTTCTTCTGTATGTGCAGTAGACTTTCTATAGGTCTTCTTTTCGTAGGAAAAAAAAACTTAAAGACCTCCTATCGAGCTTTAAGAGACATTTTAATATAAAGAAGATCTCTACGAAGTCTTATATTTAAGAAGGCTTGTGGAGATCTTCTATGCTTAAAGTCATTTGTAGGGGTTTTCTTCTTATGACAACTTGAAACTTTTCCTTTTTACAGAAGGCCTCTAAGGGGCTTTTGTTATAGAAGTGCCCTTGATGGTCCTTAATTTATAGAAGATTTCCATCCCTCAAAGTTCTTCAATTGTCCCACATAGACAGAGGACCCTTAAAAAATTATTTATAGGCAGAATATCCTCTAAAGGTTTTTCTGCACTTGGAATCTTCTTTAGAGATCATCTGTAGACAAAATATCCTGTACATTTCTTGTAAAAAAAGCCTTTAGAAGTCTTAACTTTCTTTAAAAGATATGTACAGGATAATGGATTTATATATGATCTCCTGAAGAATATTCCATATGTAGAAAATCTCTAAGGATACTCTGCCTATAAAAGATTTTTGAAGGGTCCTCTGTCTATGTGAGGCAACTGTCGCATCAATGTGGTCAAGGGTGGATTGGCACCGAGGCCCCTTTTAAGACATTTTCTGAACACTTTGCTTGAA